CCACGGGCGCGCGCTGCGCCATCTTCGGAGCATTCCCCACCAATTACGGCCAGATGGTGGGCCGACAGTGATCTAGTGGGATGAGTGAATGTGTGTGCCGAGACGCCCCCCGCTCTTGCAAACTCAGTGCCGCACAGCAGATCAGGTCGCTCTTTCATACGGGCCGTTGGCTGGCAGGACGCCGACGCGGCCCCTCCACCGCTCCTCTCACTGCCCTGCTGCGACAGCGATCGGTGCACGCCACCGCTGGGCGAGCCGCTGCTCAATCGCCCCCCAGCTGTGATTGCCCGGCTCGCGCGCCCGCGGCCGCCGCCGCCGCCACGCTTGCGAACGCAGGAGGGCGCCGCGGGCACCTCGGCCGGGCGGTGACGCTTTCAGCCCTTCCCCCTCGAGGAAATAAACAACCGTCAACGTTATACACTGCCGCGGCCGACCCAACCTCTGCCCTCTCTGTCGATTTTACAATCGGCGCCCCATCGGGCGGTCTCCCGCAGGTGTACACCTGCAACGGCGGAGAGATGAACCTGACCCTGACCGCCGCCGCGCCGCTTGACGGCTCGGGCGTCGCCCCCGGCTCCAAGTTCGCCAGCACTGGCCTCTGGAAGTGGGTGCGGCGCCGCCAGCAAGCCCTGTCTGCGGCGCGCCGCGCGCCGCCGGTGGTGCCGAGTAGTAGGGCGGCCCGCCTCGAAAGCGCCTACCCAGCTGCGTCCGTCCGCAAGCGCGCCAGAGCACCCGCACCAACACATCCTGGTGGCTTGCTCATCGTAGCGGACGCCCCGCCGCCGCCCGACGGCCCGCGGAGAGCCCCCTCTGTCAGGGCAGAGCCCGCCTCCCTAACTCATCTCCAAAGCCACAACGACAGGCTGCCGCGCTGCCCTTTGCCAACTGCCCCCCCCATCGTGATGATATTTTTGGTGTCGCTGTGCCATTATTGCCCGCAGGTGCCCCGGCCGCGACTTGCGCTACCAGTGCCACCTCTGGCCGTCAGAGGCGCCCTGGATAGCCCCCTTCCACCAGTCCTGCAGCATCACAGAGGTCATGCAGTTCGACGTGAGCGCCGCGCTGTGGGCAGGCGCGGGCGGGGCTCAACCGGCGCGTGCCCGCGTCGCGCCTGCAGGCGCCCTTGGGATTGATCGCGGGCCGGGAGGGGGGAGGGGCGCCATTGGCATTGATCTGGCTGGGGCGAGCGCCTGCCAGGCTTCAAGCTCAGACGGCAATCAAAACCCTTCAAACTGCAAGGCCTATGAAATCGTTTTTTGCCCGGCGCAATAGCCGCAAGTCGCCACCGGCCCTTTCCCGCTCGCCAGCCGACGGCCCCAGTGGTGGCAGCCTAAAATCCTAGATCATACCTCCCAACCCCCAACCGCCCCCCCTGAACCCCAAACCCTGAACCCTGAACTCTATCCCCCAAACATGCCCCAGCCCATCGGC